GGATGACTCACTGGAGAGCTTTCTTGGGGAGGAGTGGGAGGAGATGATGGTTGACAAAAATAACCACAAACACTTGAAGCATCATCAAGCCTCTGTCTGTGGGGTGAACAACAGGGGCGGATCTCAAGGTTTCTTCCAGGCAGGGCAAGGCAGTACCCATCCTTCCAGCACAAGTGACTGTTAAACACTCCCAAGGTCAGAGAGTCAGACAAACCTAGGGTCCATGAAATGAAACAGCCCCTGCTCCTAAGCAGTTAGCCACTGGTGTTTTATGTGCACGTTCTTTGTAAACTGTGAAGGAAACACATGTGAGCAGCGATTATGAAACATCATTAAGTTGATCATTCCCTCTGTGTCTTTTTACATTTTTACAAAGGGCTTTCCCATACGTTATCTCATTTGAGATCACACCAACCAGGAGAGAAGGGCAATTTTACAGATGAAGAGAAAGACTCAGAGAGAATCCATGACTTACAGAGAGCATAATTCTCAAAGTGGTCCAAAGACCAGCAGCATCAGCATCACCTGGGAACTTGCTAGACAGGCAGGTACCAAAGCCCAGAGAAGTTAAACCACCTACTGGAGGTCACACAGCTGGTAAGTGGTTGAGCAGGAAGCTACAACCAGGCCAGCTCAAGCCCTGGAGCTCTCACCACCCATACCACTATGGCAGGTTAAGAAGGAAGGCTGGGACAGGCCCCTGTGACAAGTCACATGGGTCTCTCCCCTAAGGCCCAGGCTGCTGGGAAGAATCCCAGGTTGGGGGTTAAGAGCCTAGGATCCGGGGCACCTGGGTGGCTCAGATGGTTGAGCATCTGCCTTTGGCTCAGGTCATGATCTCTAGGTCCTGGGATCGAGCCCAGCGCCGGGCTCCCGGCTCAGCGGGGAGTCTGCTTCTCCCTCTCCCTCTGCCTCTCCCCCGGGCTCATGCTCTTCCTCTCTCTGTATCTCTGTCTCAAATAAGATATTTAAAAAAAAAAAAAAAAAAAAAAAGAGCCTCGGATCTGCTAGTCTCCAACTGGCTGGGGAGCTTCCAGCACAGTCATCCCATTGCACTTGGCCTCTGACAGCTCTAAGAGTCAAGACAGATTATGGATGGGGAAGTGCTTTGGAAAATCATAACATACATCAGAAAGAAGTGAAGTGCTGTTTGGATTTTCAAGACTGGTGCATAGATCATGCCTGTTGTCTCCCGGCACCTCAGAACTTGGGACTGGCTCCAGGCTCCTGGCTCACAGAGGGCCTGGGCTGGTGGAGGTCTTGCTTTCTGTTGTGTCTCTTCAAACACCCACAGGTGCCCCGCAGAGAGGGCAGGGAGTTGCAGCCCAGTGCTGGCCCCTTGTGGGGACTGTCCTCTATTGCCTGCGGTGTTACGTGGGTTATGTGGGTTATCCATGAGAAAGGGAAGAGCACAATGAAAGAGCACAGGCAGAACAGTGGTCTCCCACAGACGTCCACATCCTGTTCTCCAGAACTATTGAATATGTTACCTGACAGGACAAAGAGACACTGCAGATGGGATTAAGTTAAGGATCTTGAGATGGGAAGATTATCCTGGAATATGTGGGTGGGCCCGATGTAATCACAAGGGTCCTTATAAGAGGGAAGCAGGAAGGTCAGAGAGAGGAGATGTGACAACAGAAAGACAGATCCAAGTGATGTAGTTGTTGGAAGAGGGGCGTGAGCCAAGGAATGTGGGCAGCCTCTAGAAGCTGAGAAAGGACACAGATGAGCCTCCCGAAGGAACGCAACTCTGCCAACACCTTGATTTTGCCCAGTAAGACCCATGTCGGACGTCTGACCTCCAGAACTGGAACTTAAAAAAATTATGTTCTTTTAGGCCACCAAGTTTGTGGTGATTTGTTATAGCAACAAGAGGAAATGAATACGACAATCCCATAGAAAATGGACAAAACACATGAACAGGCATTTAAGAGAAAAGGAAATGCATGGGCTGGCAAACCAATGAAGAGATAGTCAACATGTCTTAGCTCGGGCTGCCATAACAAATTGCCATGGATTGGGTGGCTCAGAATAGACATCCCCATCCCAAAAGGGGGAAATAGGAAAAAGGGATGGGGTGACAGGTCCTAAGCAAGTCCAAAACCTAGCCTATGGTACTTTGTCATGGCAGCCTAAGCTGATTAGGACACCAGTTATTGAGGAGATGCAAATTAAGGCCCCAGCAAGATTCCATTTTAATTGGCAAAGTAATTGGGAAAAAAATGAATACGCCTATCAATAACCAGCATGGGAGAGAAGAAGATACAGATCAGGGGAGGGATCTCTCATATGATGCCGGGGGCGGGGCAACACTTTGGTGGGAAACAATCCAGCTTTAATCCTAAAGCTAAACAGTTCCACTCACAGAGCTATACCAGGTGTATGACAAGAACACACAAGACCGTTCATAAAAGCACTCTCCACCATATCAAAAGGCTGGAAACAACTTGAAGAGCCATCAATGGGAGAGTGGAGAAATAAACCAAGGGATGTTCATAAATGGACTACAGTACACCATCAAAACGAACGCAGTATAGTGATGGGCTGCAACAGGGAAGATGCTTAGTAATGTAATATTAAGTGAAAATAGTAGCTCTGGAAAAAATTATAGGGCAACGTACCGTTTGATAAAATTAAAGACAATGGAAATGAAAAATAAATAGCCCTTTAGGAACACATATAAATGCAGTACAACTCCCTACAGGATGTGGAAATAGAAGGAATGGGCAAAACAAGATTGGGCATGATTTGAAAAGTTAGAATCTGGACAACAGAGACATTTGAGTTCACTATACTGGTCTCCCTCGTTTTGTGTACGTCTGACATGGCCCATTATACAAAGAAAGTTTAAAATAATATAAAGAGGAAAGCAGGGAATGATGAACACGGGAATCAGGAGTTGGGACAAAGGGCTGGAAGAGAACCCTACGATGAAATGGTTGGCGTGGCTTTGTTCTGTTTTGGGTTCCCGGACACTGATTACACAACTAAACAGCTAGATTAAAGGAAACCGTGCATGGAGCAATGGAGAAATAATTAAAGAAGTAGTGGGGAAAATGCATGAAGTCAGCCTTGTACACAGTTCTTAGCGGCACTTGGTGGATGCGTCCCTCTGGTGTCCTGTTTGCACGGAGGTACTTGGAACTCACGGAGACCTGGCCCCTTGCCCCGCCACGGGCTCTCCTCCTGATCAGGGGCCATTTCTCTCGTCTGCATTCCTGACAGGCCGAGACTATCCTTTCTGGAAAAGGCCTGGGCAAGGTGTCCCAGGGCTTCGAGGTTCCTGGGAAGAGCCAGTGGAATGTTTGGGATCTCACAGAGGTGGTCGGCTTGCACCAGCAGACTTTCAGACTAACATGTAAGGGTTCACGTTCGTCCCCGGCCAGTGTCATCATCAGAGACCCTGACGCATTTACCTGGTCGCCGAAAGAAGGCATCAGGTGTCGGGGGAGCTGCTGAGAGAGAAGCAGGCTAGCAAGGACGGGGGGTCTTCCTCCGAAAGAAAACGAACTGAGACGGAGGGCCCCCTTCGGCGCATGCGTGTCCCCGCTGCGCATGCGTGCGTGCGTGCGTGGGTGCGTGCGTGCTTCCAGGGTTCACGCAGGGCCAGTTCTTTTAGCGACGCCCCAAATTCCTCAGTCAAGAAGCGGTTCCGTCTGTTTTTGCAGCCTTAATGAGACCTCGGGAGAGAAAAATTTGCTTCCTTCCTGCCCGTGCCCCAGCTCTTCTCAAAGTGCGGTCCCCCCAGACACACACACCTGACTGGCAGCGTCCGTATCCCTGGGAACTCATTTAAAATGCCACTGGCCCCAATTTACTGAATCGGAAACGGGGGGTGGCGCTCGGGGGTCTGTGTTTTAACAAGCCCCCCAGGGCACTCGGATGGCTCCTCAAGGTTGAGGATCACTGGTTAATTTATCCCATCCTTGGCCTCCCAGCGTCATCTCCTTCCCCAACAATATTCCACAGGTCATCGCTTTCAGGACCTACTGTCACCTAATTTGCCCTAAGAAACCCCAACACCGGTCACTCTAATCCCTCCCTTCTTGGCTCTGGCGTTGAGCTGCCAGGAGATGCTGGAGCAAACCTCACGCAAACAGGATGGTACTCCAGCTCCCGGCTCCCAGGCTGCCGACCCGTCCATCCAGCCCCATGACCCTGCTTCCATCTGTCCCAGACAGCCCCCAGACCCATTCCTGTCAGCTGCGGTCCCACCGCTGGTGCCCTGCCTTCTCCACTGGCATTTTAGCAGGAAGTTTCTACCTCATTGAAAAAGAAAAAAAGAAGACCCATTCTGGGTCACCTCCCACCCACCTTACCAGAGGCCTCAGCCCCCTCCCCTCCTGTCCCTGCTCCTACCTGAGTCCTTTCCGCAAATTCAAAGACAAACAGCAACTACATGGCAACATTTTCAAGCAGAAGTGTTTAAAATATACATCAAGCGTCTATATTCTCTAAAGCAGTATAGACTTGGTTTTGAATTCCAGATCTTGGGCGCCTGGGTGGCTCAGTTGGTTAAGCGACTGCCTTCGGCTCAGGTCATGATCCCGGAGTCCCGGGATCGAGTCCCGCATCGGGCTCCCTGCTCAGCAGGGAGCCTGCTTCTCCCTCTGACCCTCCCCCCTCTCATGTGCTCTCTGTCTCTCTCATTCTCTCTGTCTCAAATAAGTAAAATCTTTGAATTCCAGATCTTTAGTTACTGTCAGGGAGGCACCGGCCAAATTCTTTATTTTTTCTAAACTTCAGCTTCTCTTTAAAAAGGGTTATCATAACACTTTTCGCATGGTTTTTTAAAAAATTGATAAATATAATCAATGTAAAACCTATCATGGCAATAAGAGATTGATGTATTGAATAAAAGTATTTACTGTTTGCGGCGCCTGGGTGGCTCAGTCGTCGTTAAGCGTCTGCCTTCGGCTCAGGTCATGATCCCAGGATCCTGGGATCCAGCCCCACATCGGGCTCCCTGCTTGGCAGGAAGCCTGCTTCTCCCACTCCCGCTCCCCCTGCTTGTGTTCTCTCTCTCGCTGTGTCTCTCTGTCAAATAAATAAAATAAAATAAAGTATTTACTATTCCATCCATGTATTAGATATTTTGATTTCAACATTTATATAATATGAATGATTTTCAAATTCCATGGGCATCTTATACTTCAAGTTCTTACAACATGAGCAGAAACTGAGATGAATGTTCAAAGGTAAATCATGATGTGAATTCCTTAGTTCCAGGTTTAAAGATGAGAAAAGGACAGTGCTTCCCTTGTTACAAAAATTACTTGCTTATGGGGCACCTGGGTGGCTCAGTCACTTAAGGGTCCAACTCTTGATTTCCGCTCAGGTCATGATCTCAGGGTCATCAGATCCAGCCCCAAGTTAGGCTCCAGGCTGGGCATGGAGCCTGCTTGAGACTCTCTCTCTCTGCCCCTCCCCAACTTCACCCCCCCACACACACACACACCTGCCCCCATGCGCATGCGCGCACTCTCTCCCTCTCTAAAAATACATACATACATAAAAATAAAAAAACAAAAAGTACTTGCTTTATTTTTTTAAGATTTTATTTATTTGTCAGAGAGAGAGAGCACAATCAGGGGGAGTAGCCAGCAGAGGGAGAAGGAGGCTCCCCGCCG